TACATCACAGTCCATCGCCGTCCACTGCTGAACTTGAAGGGTCATGGGCAGTCCAAAAAAAAAGTCGTCGGTCTATAGTATCCTATCGTGTTTTTAGGGTTCCGTACCTCAAAAGGAAAAAACGAAACCCACATAGGACCACTTTGTTGTCCGTCTGTTATCCATCCGACATTCTCACGGGAATCATAATTCATATGGTATTTCCTGTTCACTTAGAACTATGAAATTTGGGCCTAGCAATGCTGCTTTCGATGTTCGTTCAAGAAAAGAGCTTACTGAAGCTCTTGGCAATCCATGGTCTTTAAGAGGTTATAGAGGTGGTGGTTATAACATAACCATTTTTAGTTATTTCGTTGGAAGTCATAGTACTTGTTTCTTTTTAAAGCATGGTCAATAGGGATGTTCGTTTCCCACGGCACCGTGAGGTTTACTAGTACTACACGCTTAATGACATCGCATAATGAAATTTGTCTGATCTGGACGCCGAGGCACAGATATCCTCCGGTATTCTAAATATTTCCTATAACTGTGACACTAATAATGTCCAGTCACTGGCGGTATTTATAATTGAGTACGGCTTTTGCGATGTCTTTTTTGTTCAGCCTTTTTTACAAACGCGATGTTAGTTCTTATGATTGTTGTTATTCCTTTTTTCGCTCTCGCCAGCGATAAACTTATAGCTTCGCGTATCATGGCAACGTGAATAATGACCCTAGTCTCATTGCGCCTTACAACCTGTCAGTAAAAGCCTGGCTGTACCTATTGCCGCACTGCATATCGTACAAGCCTTTTTTGTAGCTTTTCCCCGCCTTACTAGGTTGCTTTGATCGGGGAGAGTCAATTGAAAGGCGTTGAGTTAAAATTTTAACAGGGAAGGTTACCAATCGTATAAAAGGTTGCGCCATTTTAAAGTTGGTGGAATACACGTCTCACGTCATTCTGCATTTTTAGGTTCATTGCGTGCACCTTATATTACATGGGCTGAAAAATCCCGGGCCTAACACATAAATGGCGCTAGTTTTATTGCAGTCACCTTTTTTCCAGTTAATACTAACCTTCAAAAGACAGCTGTTAGAATTTCATGATATTCTATTCATTAGTTTGTGAGTTATTCTGCTAAGAGTGACGCTACTTTTGTTATTTTCAAGACAATGGATCAAAAACAATTTCGTGTTTTAATTTTACACTGCTTCTTGATGGAAAAAAATACCGTTCAAGCGAAGCAATGGCTTGAAAAGTGTTAGGGGACTCCGCTTCATCAGAAACAACAATAAAACGTTGGTTTGCTGACTTCAAACGTGGTCGTAGAGACACCGATGATGCAGAACGCAGTGGACGTCCAAATGAGGCGGTAACACCAGAAAACATAAAAATAATCCACAAAATCGTTTTGAATGATCGAAAAGTGAATTTGCGTGAGTTAGCTGACATCGTAAAGATATCAAAAGAACGTGTTAGCTTTATATTGCATGAGCATTTGACTCTGAGAAAGCTCTGTTCAAAGTGGGTGCCGCGTTTACTCACTGTTGACCAAAAACAAGAACGTGTTGATGATTCTGAGCAGTTTTTGGCCATGTTTAAACGTAACAAACCGGAATTTTTGCGCCGATATGTAACAATGGATGAAACATGGATCCATCACTTCACTCCGGAATCAAAACGATCGTCATCTGAGTGGGCAGCAACTGGTGAACCTCGTCCAAAGCGCCCGAAAGCACAAAGGTTGTGGCCTCGGTATTTCAGGATGTGCGTGGTGTAATATTCATCGACTATCTTGAGAAAAGAAATACCATTAACAGTGAATATTATATAGCGTTATTGGAGCGTTTGCAAAGAAACGACCGCATATGGCAAAGAAAAAAATTTTGTTTCATCAAGACAACGCACCGTGTCACAAGTCAATCAAAACAATGGCAAAACATGAATTGAACTTCGAATTGCTCCCACATCCACCGAATTCGCCAGATTTGGCTCCCAGCGACTATTGGCTGTTCGCAGACCTGAAACAAATGCTCGCCGGTAAGAAATTTCGCACGAATGAAGAGGTTATCGCTGAAACTGAGGCCTATTTTGAGGCAAAAGATAAATCGTTCTACAAAAGTGGTATTGAAATGTTAGAGCGGCGCTGGAATGATTGCGTTGCTCTTGATGGAGATTACGTTGATGATTAAAGCCAATTTTCAACCAAAAATACTGTGTTTTCTTTGTTAGGCCCGGGACTTTTCAGCCCATGTGTTAGGTCTCGTTTTCAACTTGTTGTAGGAAAGATTTTGTTGTCTCTTTGTCGGTCTTCGTCTTCTAGCATTTTCCAATCCAACTCTACAGGACTGCGTACCCACCCTGAATTTCTTATGACTCTGATGAGCTCTGATTATACTAGAGTTATTCGAATTTCGAATTCATACAACATTCACGGGTCTGCAGATGTTGCTAGCCCGAGCCACGACTTCGATGCCTTAGTGACTTTCGCGTCCAGTGTTCTTAAGTGGTTCCGGTTTATATCGTATACCAGAAACGGCCAGTTGAGACTGTAACAGTTATTTTTTGGTATATTTGTAATGCGTACGGTTTTGATAAAAGCGACACCTATTGGCCGGATCGCATTGTTGTTGATTTATCTAAAGTAGTTTGTAGCTACGGTATTGATCTTCTTGGTTCACTTTCGGACCACTAGATGACGTTTGTTTGAGACATGATAGATTAATAAAAAGACTTACTTTTTATTGACATGACATGACAAATTGTATAGGTATTAAAAGTGTTTTGTTATAGTAGAAAGCAAGTTACTTTTGATTTTGTTAGTGTTGTCTTCGTTCATAATTTAAATGTCAAAGTAAAATTTTGAAGAGGGGTTATTTTCTGGAAGCTTCGTTAACCGAAGATATATAAGTCCGACTTTCTGCCACGGGAGACACTCTGCTATCTCGTGCCTTCCGATCTTAAATAGTGTTTTGATTGCTGTGTGATTTGATTTTCGTAATATATTATCTGTTCAAAAGTACCCACTAAAGTGGTGAGTATGGTCTTAATTCTTCTTAAACCTATTTGTTTCTGGAACCTGATTAATTATATGAGTGCTAATCCATTCGTAGGGTCCCAGATTTCGGGGTCAAGACGGTCAGTCTCAGACGGCGTGCTTGCTCTTTTGTGGCCTTCTGGTTCAGACTCAAGTTTCTCGGTACCCTCTGGCAAAGCTGGTGTTTGCGCGGCTCACGACGCAAGCGGACAGCCGTACCCAAGAGTTACGTACTTAAACTTATAATTGCAAATTGTTAAACTTTTATCCATATCTAATATAAATAGCCGACTCGGGCGGAAGAGGAAGTAACTTCCTGGAGGGACGACGAGGAGGCACCGAGCACCATCAGCTCAGCTCTAACGCGCTCCGCTGCGGTTTTTTTTTTCTTTTTCTTGTACCCACACTGATTAATTTATTTAATTTTTTTTTATTGTAAATTTGATCTACTTTTTTTTTGAAATATACAAGTATGTATGACTGAGGTGTGAGTTGTTTTCCTCTAGTGAGTCCCGTAGGTTTCCCACACGCACACACATCTGTTTTCTTATAAAGGCGCCCTGAGGTTATCTCATCAATCTCTCCACTGGGTCAGCCGGTGAGTAGTCCGCCAGAGAGGAAAAGCGGATACAAGACATGATGTTAAGTAGTTGTTGTAAATCCAAGCTTTTTTTACGTTACTTATTGGCTGTTGGTCTACCTTGTCAATGTATTTTACAAAGTCATCGACTATTGCGTTCATAGATGGAGTACGACCTTTGTAGTCTATTTTTCATCCAAGAAATTTAAAGGGCACTGTTTCAGATATTATTGAAACACTTTCCCCAGCAATAGTAATCCCGAGGTCATATGAGGTATATCTGGTAGTTCGCCGGGTCTAGACAAAGGCAATAGCATTTGCTAGGTTTTATCCTCATTCCCTCCGTTCAGATACAGAAGTCATCCACCTTACGCAGTAGTTCTTGGAACTGCTTCAAGTTACGTGTGAGGATCGCAATATTGATATTGTCTTTTAATATATTTATAACTGTATTAAATACATCAACAGCCTATACTAGTCCACTGCTGGACATAGGCCTCTCCTTAGAAAGGAGGTTTTGGCCTACTATACCACGCTGGCCAGACGGGTTGGTATAGGGTTTGTTTCAAGTTTTCCTTCTCTTTTCAGTGCTTTAGTCCTGCTTAGTTTGCTCCCTTAGTCGGCTCTTACGACACCCACGGGATGAATTGGAGTGGTGACAATTTGTATTCTTAATCCGTCACCACACGGACGGTAGTATTAAATACAACTGGTGATAAGCAGCAACCTTGGAACAAGCCTACTCTGTATTCGAGGAGATTTGTATGTCCCTCCTTTGCTGTGTATACCATTTGAAGGCAAATAACATGAGCTCGAGTCGTACTGAGCCAAGCCTTAATCAATCCATCAGACTGTAAATTGCCTTTTATTTTTCCTAACATCTTTGAGACTTTCCGCAGGAAATGAGTTATGTTCCAGACATCCAGGAATTTCGAAATCCAGTAATTTGGGTTGAAGTAATTATTGTTGGCGGGTTATAATCAAACTTGAAACGATTGCTTGCTGGGTTTTGTGCACTTGGTTCATGATGGGTCTTCTCATGTGTTGATCTGGTCGGCCTGGTATATATATATATATATATATATATCCTGTAGGGATATATATATATCAATCCTTTTCGTATCGCTTGACAAATCGGATGTCATGCTAAGCCTGTAGGTCAACAATTACAATACTCGCATCCTCCCAAATCTACTTCGGTCAAAAAAAATAATAATACAGACAACCGTTTATATACATACATCTAGAAATACTCCAATCAGTTTAGCGGTCAGTTTACAGATGAACTAGCACAACCACCAACGTGTAATTACAAGCGGCAAGCTCCTTTAAATTTTGTTAACAACAATGGTTTAAATTAATAATAATTACTCTATTAATGAACTATCTTTATTTCTACAAAATTCAGAAACTTATAGCCGTTTTTTTCCACTCGGTGCACCATTCAAGCTTCTTAGCACAGGTAATGATACATTTGTCTTCAAGTTGTTGACAAGTCATTACATCTTCAGGTTTGACGGAGTCTCCTCGTGCACGCTTAGTGATTCTGACCTTACTAACATTTTCTGGACTATATTTGTGTCCGTGATAACGTTTCAAACTTTCTTTATTTATGTTTTTACCAATTACTTGTAAAGCTACCTTGTCCTCATGTACATTATCACTTCTTGTTCTAGTATGATGCTGTTTTTTTGCTTCTTTGATATTTTTTTGATTTTCTAATGTCCGCAATAGTGAATGACTGTAATTGAAATCATCGTTGGCATTTTCGTTGTAATCTTTATTGCTGTTGTCTTGTTGAATTTTTTCTTGCATAAAAGTTGTCAAATCAGTAAAGCTTTGTGGTTCAGTATATCTTTCGATAATCTTGTCAAGTCTGCGGTTTGGCTGTAATTTATAGCAATTGCAACAAAATTTAAAAAAATATGGCATGGTAGACAGGTGGCGAACTTTAATTTTTTGAAAGTCAGACCGTGGTCTAAGATATTTCTTTATATTTTAAATATAATCAAATGCCAACTATTTCATGTTCTTGAAATATTTTTGAGTATCGTGTTAGAAATACTCTGTACATATATGTTAATATATTTAAAAAAAATAAGAATTAAGGCTATCTTACCTCGAAAATGGCTTCAATACTAACCTGAAAATTAAATAAAAAACTTGATGAAAAAAAAATAAAAATAACGCACGACTACTAAGCAAAAGAACTGAGAAATAAGATGTATCAGAATTATGGTCACATTGAACCTAAACTATTGGATTTCAGAATCGAATTCGATGGATGACTAAATTAGGTAAGTCAGCAAAAGGCTTTAAATAGAAAATGATATATAGGTAGAAATTATTTTGAATATATTGAGAAAGATGTAGTTAGATAAAAACTTTTGCATCGATAGGATTAGAATATCCTTTCAGAATCTTGGTATAAAATCTCAAGAGTAGGATGTGAATATACCTACTATGAAGAGCCATGTTCCAAATATGGTATAAGCCAACATTTTTTGAGCATTGTAAGTATTGATTTCCTAATGCGAAAGAGAAGATAATATTTCTTACTTGTATTGGTATTTTCATTTCACGGTATGTAACGAATTAGGTACCTTGAAATGATTTCACTTATCTATCAGTCTTTATTGAATGGCTTTAGTAGTAATCATTTCTTTGTTAAATGATTTAAAACGTTTTAGGAATATACTCTACGTGAACTAATTTACAGTCTCCTATTTATTTCTGTAAAATCCAATACCGAATAGGACATAGTCTTCAGACCCTGATTTAAAATATTTCGTGCTATCCAATGAGCTGGTGGTCTAAACATGGGTTGTCAGTGTTTTGATAGCAAGATCCCTTTAATAAGTCAGTTACTTCGTTTATAGTTAAGACAGTGGTCTCTTGTAAAAAAAAAAACTTTTTAAAAGATAACCCCCGCACTAGGAATAAATCCTGTATCGCTCCTCGACTTTACAAACATACATGAAACGGGTAAAATGGGTACACTACAGTGTTTTTAACAAACCAGAATCGACAATCGAAAAATATTTTGTACAATACATGTTTCGAATGAGAGTTCCATTCTTCTAGTTTGGTTACTTCTTCTGTTGAGAACTATTCTTTAAGGACATTTGACAGAATAAAAATGCAAATGTTAATGTAAGTATCTTTCATTGTTCCAAACCTTAATTTTGGATTAGTTGATTCAATATTTTTAATAGAATTATAACAATTACCTAAAGGAGATAAGAAGATGGAAAAATCTGCTTTGCCTAATCTCGCTCGCAGCCTCTAGCTTCTATTAATAAATTTCTTCTTCTGAACTTCGTTCCATTAAAAGCCAATGCCTAGGATAGCCCTCAAACAGATGCTCTTCCATTGTTCAATAAAGTAGACATTAGAACAGATGAGAAATTATGCTAATTCAAAATTTAATACTTATAACCGAACTCTAAAATAAATTTTCGTTCCGTGTAGTGACGGATTAAAAATACGGAGTGTCACTAACCCTATTCATCCCGTGGGTATCGTTTGACAAGACTTAGAGAGCAAACTATGCAGGACAACAACACTGCAAAGAGAAGGAAAACTTGACACAAACCCTACACTAACCCGTCTGGCCAACGTGGTATAGTCCCTATGAGGGGCCTACGTCCAGCAGTGGACAATTAAAGGCTCTTGATGATGATGATTATGAAAATAATATTTCAGCTATAGCTTTTCGATCTTCAAGACAAAGAGAATTGTTTAATTCATTTGACTGAAATTAAAAACGACCATAGCAGGCCTCATCCAGATCATCTTTATTCAACAGATTAGTTTATCAGCAATCATTCATTGTTATCGTTAGTTTAGAATTCAAAAGATCTTGGTATTATATTGAAAATATTGAAAAATAGTATAATATTTAACTTAAAAATAAAGAAAATTACACTTTAGTGTAAATTATAAATGTGAAAAAAGCATAAACATTGTATGTTGTAATTTTTTTTTGTTTTACTTTACCAGTTTTCACTCAAATTGTTGGTCACAGTCTGCAAAATATTTGTCCTCATCTTGTTTACAACTTGGATTCTCAGTTTTAGGGGGTGATTTTGTAGTAGGCGGTTTTGTATGTCTAGGAGCTATTGGAACTTTTTCAGCTGTTTCACCTGAAAAATCTTGAATAGCATACCTCAAGCTGATAGGTTTATTAGATTGGATTTTATGTGAAGAGCCTTTGGTTGTGCACTTGAATAAAAATTTACTATTAAATATTCACACTGATTAATTATAGAAATTACTATCAGTAACATAGTAAAAGAACTCCAATACAATATAAAGGTACCCATATTTAAAATGAGTTTTACGTCCTTTTAATTTTGAGCTTTAAGTTAAACGAATATGTTTTTAAGATGATTGGATGTTTTAGTTCTACATAGTAACGGGTCTACCAATAGGGATGACCTGGTTTTGACAGCTCATAGTGGCCATGTTTGATGATGGATCTTTGACGTCTCTTGACATTTGTGTTCATTTGTTGTGTGTGTGTGTGGGTTTGCCATTTTATCATGTCACGTTTAACTTTAAACCAAAACTTCTTTGAAAGTGACGAAGGAAACCCTGTTACTGTAAATGGTGAGCGCTATAACTCGATGTTAACCGAATATTTCGTCCAGACGACCTTTATTTTGAACAAGACGGTGCACCACCTCACATTACTCGAGTGAACATGGAATTATTGCGTGGAAAGTTTGGTGAGTCGTTAATTTCGAGAAACGGACCGATCAGTTGGCCACCAAGGTCGTGTGATTTAACACCTTTAGACTATTTTCTTTGGGGTTACGTTAAATCTAAAGTGTACAGCAATAATCCAGCTACAATTCGTGACCTAAAAATCAACATTCGACGAGCCATAGCCAACATACCGGCCGAAATGGTGCACCGCGTCATCGAAAATTGGCGTGAGCGGGTGACCGTCTGCAAAAAGAGCCGCGGCCGTCATTTGGCCGATATATTATTTAAAACATAAATTGCATAAAATTATCTATCAAATAAATCAATCGGATGCATTTTACATAAAAAATTGTGTGTTTTATTCAATTAAATTTTTAAACCAGGACGTTCTTATTGGTAGACCCCATTTAACAGATGATATATTAACTGTATTCTCCTTAAAAAGTTTTAATAGTTCACCCCAGAATACTTTAACATTTTTGCCAGGATTATTTATTTATTTATAACTTTATGCACATTTGTACATCGGCGGACTTAATGCCCAAGGCATTATCTGGCAGTCAACCTTTAGGCAGTGTAGTAATCGTGAGTGGTAGGCGCATATAGGTTATGACAATAACTACTAAGATATATTATTCATGTCAGTGTAGGATTATTTTTGTCAGTGGCATAGTTTTAAGAAATACCTCAACTAAGTGACACTGTAACGAAGTAAAATTCTAAAAGGAATAGTGAACTTGTGTTTACGTCTTCACTTCTAACTACTAACCCATCCTCTTGACATATTGTTCACGCGTTGTCAAGGGTACAGAAAACATTTATACATACGGCTTCAGATGTTGATGAAAAATGCTGCGCCTGGGGATTTGGGCAGTCAAAATGCAGTTTTTTTTATAAGTAATATAATATAAGTAATAATATGAGTGTTATGTTTAAATGTAACTATTTTAAAGTTATAGCTGAAACATGGTAGAGAAAGTATTTTTGAAATTATTTAGTATCAAGTTAAAAGTAAATACTGATTTATTTAAGTAGTATCTCAGAAAAAAGTATAATCTTTTCCAAAACGATTTAGAGCCAAACAAAATAAACGGAGTTCCTTTAGTCACCCACCCTCGGAGACTTATATTCACCGCAGGAAAAGACTTTATTAATTAAGTAAATCTTGGATTATTTTTGGCAACATAGTCGAATATGATGATAGCATTACTCCATGTTTAAAAACTAACTGTAAGTAACATGCTTAAAGTGCTTTGTGCAACGATTACTCTCGTATGTCTTTTTTTACGTAAAGGGGGGCAAACGAGCAACAGGTCACATTATGTTAAGTGACTACAGCCCGCCCATAGTTACCATGGCGATGAGAAAATTGCGCTTCCATTCTTTCTTTGCTCCCCCACTACAGAATGAGGGCGGAAAGAAAGTCATGATTATATGAGATAAGAAATGATTGTGCCTCTGTGGCTCAGTGGTAGCATATGTGACCGCTGTGCTGAGGTCTCGGGTTCGATTCCCGGGTCGGACCAAATGTTTGTTTCGGAGTTTGGGTATTTTCTACGTATTTTTTTGTAAATACATGCATATTATGTATTTACAAAAAAATAAAAAGTATATAAGTATTGTATTAGTCAATCTAGCTTTCATAGTATGAGCTCTGCTTAGTTTGAAACTAGATGGCATTGTGTATCAGATGTTAGAAATATTATTATTATTATTACTTTGACGGAAATAACAATCAGAAAGATCTAAATTTATATATTAATTTAAAAAAAAAGTCTACTATATAATCTTCATCTGACGCGCAACCACAAGATAAATATACCGAGAGTTGAAAAAGTGGCAGATTTACGATACACAACACCATCATGAAGATAGCCAGAATCTTCATATTAACGTCATTATAAAATTATTACTGGTCGAAAAAAGTGATGATTACATTGATGATAGTTTTAATTGAATTTATAATTGCATAATTGCAAGGTATGTTGATCTCCATGAAATCGACGATGGCAAGAAATTTAGCAATTTCATTTAGTGAACATCATCATCATCGTCAACAGCCTTTAATAGTCCACTGCTGGACACAAGCCTCTCCTTAGAAAAGA